ACGATCTTGGCTCACTGCAATCTCTACCTCCCATGCTCAAGCAATTCTCCTGACTCAGCCTCCTGAGTAGCTGGGATTATGAGCATGCGCCACCACGCCTGGCTAATTTTGTATTTTTAGTAGAGGTGGGTTTTGTCTGTGTTGGTCAGGCTGGCCTCGAACTCCCAACCTCAGGTGATCCAGCCTCCTCGGCCTCCCAAAGTGCTGGGATTATAGGCATGAGCCACTGCACCCAGCCAGCTAACTATTTCTTAGGAGCAATCAAAGACATTGACACTTTTGAAAATCCAAGGGGCTTGTAATTGAAAAGGGCTTCAAGGCAACCTAACCAAAATGTGGGTGAAGCTTGATTCTGATTACTTTTGACCTCCCCTCTTTGTGGGCACCTCACCCCATAAAGTTCCTGCATCCTCATGCTGCCTCTTCATCACACAGGACCTACTCCCAGCCACACTCATACACACGCACACACTGGGACGTAAGTGGCACAGTGAGAAAGGTATGGGTTGTTGTTTTTATTTTTTTTATTCTCACTTGCAGGCCATGCCATCTTGGGCAAGTTAAGTAATTTTTTGGAACGTCACTTTCCTTCTCTATAAATGGAGGTAATTGCCTTGAAGAGTCAGAGAATATACACATAAGGTGTGTAGCGCAGGGCCTGACTTGCAGCAGGAACTCAACAAATGTTCCCGCATCCTTCTCCAGCTAGGTCTGTCGCCATCCAGGAATAACCTGGGGTCTCCACTCTGCAATTTTTCTCATCAAAGTTCACTAGCCTGTTAGCATTATTTCAGGACTTCTCTAGAGGCTGACTTGGTAACTGCTGTCAGTGAAAGCTTTGATGGCTGAAATGATTTTATTTGAAGTCAAAGAGGGTTCCTGAGGATGCTGGCCTAAAAGTGAAAGCATGACTCTCTTATACTGGGCAAGCCATGGTGGGAGATGTTTTTTGGGAGATGTTTATTTAGAGTTATCTAGTTTTCCTTAGCAAGAAATCAGGTACTCAAAAAAAAAAAAAAAAAAAAAGGTGTGTCTCCCTGAATTTCTTCTTGCCTAATAATTAGAGAAAATTAGGAATCACAGGCTAACTAAATCACTGATTTTTCAAACTTTGAGGTGTTTAAGTTGGAAAAGTGGCGCCAGTGGACTCAGCCACTTGGGAGGCTGAGGTGGAAGGATCACTTGAGCTCAGGAGTCGGAGCCTGCAGTGAGCCACGATGGTGCCACTGCAGTCTGGGCAAGAGAGCAATAAAAAAAATTAAAATGATGAGAAACAGAAAAACTCCCTGAGATGCTGGTTCAATAGGTTGCTGAAGAGCCACTTCCTTTGGAAAAAAGTAGACCACACCTGTGGACTGCATCGGTTGCACAAACCTAACTGATAAAACAAGCCAGTTCACGTCAGTCAACAAGCTGCCTTGCACAGGATGCAGTTGCTGACTAGCAGGAGTAAAGCCAGTCAGTTCCAAATACTGATTCCCTAATGATGTTCAACCTTCTCACCACCATTGCTTCCCCAGTGCCAGCAAGTAGGAGGTGCCCACTAAGTTGAAAACTATTAAGTGTGCGTGATCTTAAAACAAAAGCAATGATGGAAAGCAAAGGAAGAAGCAAAACCAAACAAAATAACCACAACAAAGCAGAGTGAGCGGTATGAGATGCAATGCCAGGAAGGGTTAATGCCGATTTTAAAAGAGAAAATGAAAAACAAGAAATTCTATATTAATTACTTGATTTAAATTTGACTACAAACTTTGGACTTGTTTTGGAGCCTGGCTATCCCAGGATGCTAGCCCATTTTGAACATGCCAGAGTTCTGTTTACCAGGAAACAGGCCTTTCCTAATGCAACAGGATTTTAGCACGGTGGGGTTGGGGTCCTCGGTGGTGTGCTTACTCAATAATGTGTGCATGCTGGTGGCTCTTCAGTGCAGACTGAGAAGATGATACCCAACACCCTCATTTTGAGAAGAGAGAGGCTCCCAGATCCCACTGAGTTAAAGGCAGAAAGCCCCCTTCTTACAGGTGTCAGATTCTCTGTTACACCCCCTGCCTTTACT